TAATAATAATAATAATGTGCCTTGACAGGAAAACTGGAACATAGAGCATGGAGATTTTCCGATGGCTCTCGTGAAGTTTAACAAATGACCTACCACATAGTCAGATCAAGAAATGAGCTTCAATCAGAGGAAGGCCACTGAGAGTGAAGGCACAGGAACAAGAAGAGACAGAGGACATGCAATAGGCCCTGGTACGGAAATGGGGCCCTGAAACCAGAAATAAGGAAGTTGTCTGCAAAGTAACGTGACTAATAAAGAAATCAAATGTCAGGCACAGAGACATACAGAATATGTGAACTCTAGTATGAGCCATTGACCCTTACCTGAGGAGAGCTCCAGCATCTGTGCAAGGTGGCAGTCATCATTACAAATGTGCGTGATGAAGATGCGGCTTGCCTGGGGCCCTTTCCTAATGACAGCATCAATCAAAGCTCGGGCTTTATCCATAACTGTAGAATTTTCATCTCTTACTTTCTCCATCTCTTCCTGGTTCAGCACCCTTTTCTCTAATAATTCATCCAGCAAGCCATTTATGGTACCTGTGCCCACTGAGCGGACAAACTGCCTCCTCTTCTCCTTCAGGACCTTGTCTGTTTGGAGCACAAAGACTTCTCAAGTCATAAAAACAGCCTCATTTTCCTCCCATGTCATTAACAGGGAATGGCCTCCTTGAGATTTCATCAGTCAATCCCTCTCCGCATAGCTGGACAATCCCTTCCCGTATTCTATCACTGTCCCACTTTTTCCTCCAGTATTTCCCATGTATGGTCATGGAGTGGCCTGAAGACAGGATTGCTATCCCTAAGTTAGTACCTGAAAAGCAGAGATCATCCTTTTGTGCCCTGTGCTTATTCAACTCTGAATAATAAAATAATGAAACTGTGTTTGCCCCCTTCCTTTGGGGACAACAGCTGCTGGTCCTCATCCTGTGCTGATTCTGCAACCTCTGTCAGATTTGCAACGTTGAAGAATTCAGTTAAGATTGTAAAATGACAGGAGGATATGAGCACAGCCCTAGTTCCTGTCTGGCCTGGCCTTTCCCCTCTAAAGGGTGCGAAAGTCTGCTGGGCCTCTTCCCTCCTCCCTCCCACTCCTCTCCCTCCTCCCTCCCACTCCTCTCCCTCCTCCCTCCCGTTCCTCTCCCTGAGTTCTGCTCACCTAAACCTCCACAGAACCTAGTTACAGTTTCTAGAAGAACCAGCTCCTTCCAGAACTATTTCTTCCCGCAGACCTGTCCTTTTAATAGTAAAAAACTCACCGGCCATGGCTTTTTTCTCCTACCCTTGTGTGGATTGAAATTGAAAGTGTGCTCCCTCTTCCTTTTCAGCAGGGCGGGAGCACGTATTGAGAAATAACCACTGCACATGCATATGCATGTCTTTATATTTTTTCCCAGAGGAGTGATCAGATTGCTGAACTGAAATGCAGATTGCATCGGAGAGTGTATCCTTGGAAAATTTTTTTCACTTGTAACAGGGCAGGGCAGGAGGACATAGGGACTTTGAAAGTAAGATAGGAATGATAAAATATGTATACAACTAAGCTCACACAATAAACAGTCTCCCATTTTTTAGGAAGTGGAATCAGGGAAAGCAACTCCTTCTTTCTGTGTTAGTTGAACCACTGTTCCCCCTGCTATGCCCTACAGCCCTGGGGAGAGTCCCAGGAACTGTATGTCCCTGTGAAGCGGCTTCACTTTTAAGAATGGAAACAATTTTTACTAACATCAAATATTTTCTTATCTAATGCTCTTCCTTTTCAGATGTCTTTCTTTTGAGGGACATGGCATCATTGAAAGTAAAAGCGTAGGTGCTGGACTCAAAATGTGGAACTTAGCATTGTAGCCTTTTCTTCTTGGGCAAGATATTAAACTTTTCTATGCATTGATTCCTCTGTCTATAAAATAATTTTATGAATAGTATATACCTACATAGTTCTGAGCATTAAGTGAGTGAAAATGTGGAAACTGCATAGAACATTGTCTGGACCATTGTAAACACATAATAAGTGATATAATTATTTTAATGTAAATATTTCACACTACAAAATAATCAAGGTTAATGATTTGTAGATTACCTAGTTAAGTTTGTCTTTGAGAAAATCCTCAGGCAGCTTATAAAGTCATGCGTTTAG